CGTTTGACTGAGGAGATTGTCCCATTCCGGCAATCGAAGAGGAGAGTCCATGAGACGCTGAAGGAGAGTGGTGAACCATGTCCTTGCTGGCCAAAGAGGAACCACTAGATAAACTACACAGTTGTGGCACAGAATCTTGGCCAAGACTTCCGGTAACATATTGAACGGAGGGAATGCATAGGCAATCATATTTTCCCAAGGTTTTGACATGGCATCCACTGCCCATGCTAGCGGATCCAGCACTGGACTTACATACGTTGGTAGACGATTGTTCCTGCGATTCGCAAACAGGTCTATCAAAGGAGTTTCCCATTTTTTCCCGATTCGAGGGCTTCCTTGTGTAAAGTCCATTCCGTGGGAATGACGCTGTCCTGCCTTGATAAGGAGTCCGCAAGAATGTTGAAACGTCGGGGATGTGACGAGCCCCTAGGTAACATCTTGTGCGTTCGGCAATGGCAAAGAGGTGTTGTGTGACTTGTAAAAGACTCATCGATCTGGTTCCTCCCTGCTTGTTCACATAAGCTACTACCGTTGAATTGTCCGTGGCTAGGATGACACTCTTGCCATGCAGACTCCAAATCCAGTGAGCCAATGCTTTTACAATTGCTAACATTTCCAATACATTGATGTGGTATACTCTCTCCTGTGGAGACCATGTGCTCTGAACCTGCCACTGGTCCATGTGCACTCCCCCCATCCTGTGGCCGAAGCGTCTGAATATATCGTGATATCCTGAGGAGGAGGACGAAATGGGGTGCCCGGTAGAACATTTGACTCCTGAGTCCACCAAAGTAATTCTGTCTTGACATGATTCGGGTAAACAATTAATGTGTCTAGATCCAAAGTTCTGTTCTGATTTATCCATACTTGGGTTTCCCGAAGATGTATTCTGCCCTGTAGCGTAAAATCTTGGATGGAAGTCAGATACCCTAGAAGTGACATCCATTTCCTGACTGACGCCTGCCTCAACCTGATATCTTGCAGTATTCTGGTCCTTTAATTCTCCCAACAATCCTGTGGAGGATAAATACGGCAAGTTCTTGCATCCAAAACTGCTCCTAAGAACTTTATCCTTGGGGACGGTGTTAATTCCGATTTATCTGGATAAATGATTAGGCCCAAATGCGTAAACACATTAATTATAATTTTGGTTTGCATCACAGGTTTGTTTGTGATCGTATTCTTGGCTAAGAAATCGTCCAGATAACCGTGAATGGCTATGGCGTCTGTGGTGAAGAAAAGCTACAATGGGAGTTATCACTGCCGTAAACAGCCAAGGAGCAAGGGATATGAATGGTAGGACTCTGAACTGATACCTGCGACCACTTACTGCGAACCTCAGGTATCTCTGTGACCGAGGATGTATAGGCACATGAAGATAGGCGTCCTTGAGATCCATGCTTATAAACTTGGCTTCTGTTTGGATAAGACTGAGCAGATTGTTCAAAGATTCCATCTTGTATTTTGGTGGTTTTCGTAGAAAATTCTTGTTGAGGATTTTCAGATCTATAATCATGCGCATTTCTGCTGTATCCTTCTTGGGGACTAGAAAAACAGGTGAATAAAACCCCTCTGAAGTGTCTTGTGGGGATATCTCTATTATTGCTTGCTTCTCCAATAGCTGATGAATAGCTTTCTCCGACGCAACTAGACACTGACCTTGAATAAAAAATCTGCGACCACTCGGATGGCATGTGACTGGCGGCCGAACCTCCCAAGGTAGGATGAACCCCCCGACAACTACTGATAGTATCCAAGTGTCCTTTGTAATCTGCTCCCAATTCTTGATATACTGCACTAGACGACCCCCTACTGGCGAGGGAGCTACCGGCTGAACAAATTCTAAATCCAACTCCAATTCCGGGGACAGATCCAAATGGTAAGGCATAGAATGAACTGTTGGTACGGAGTCAAAACTTCCTAGCCCTTGAGGGCCGAAAGGACCTAGTCCCCCTTCCTCTATCTCTAGAACTAGAAGGAGCTCCACGCTGAGATGGAGTAAAAGTATGTGGCCTAAGTATCCATGGCCCTGTCAAAAGCTGAATGTTGTAGAGGAGCACGACGATTCATAGACTGTGAGCGGGAGCTTGAGCTAGACTGTGTTCCTTCTCTCCTACCCCTAGGGGTAGATCTGAATCTATTTTGGTTCAATAGGGCCGAAGCAAAATGCTGATTGAGATTCCTGGAAGTAGTAGCATCTTTTGCTTCCACCGCTTGCTGACATTGACCGTTAAAAATCTCCTCAGAATTTAATGGCTGCTGGAACATCAAATCTTTAGTAGACTCTGGTAAATTCCAAACTGAGCTTAACTTATGAGTCCTCTCCATAGCAGTGAGTCTGCCCAGCGAATACACCTGGTTCTGAGTAGCATCCGATACACTCTGATATAATACATCCAGGAAGGAGTGAGCCAATGCCACCTCATGCACCGACATAGCCACTAAGGTATCTTTTTTAACTCCCGAATAGTCTTTGAACACCGGAGGAAGCAGAGCATGGACACCAGCCGCAAACCAGTCTATATGTGATAGTATGTCAATAGAAGAACGGGCTGCAGTATCCAGTTCCTTGAATTCTCTAGGAAGACATGGTATGACATTGTCTCTGTGACTCCTAGCTTCCAGTAAACTAAAGTCCTTATCCAAATGAGGCAGACTAGCTGGCAAATCCCGACTGTGGATGACATAGGCTGGTCTCTGAGGAATTCTAGGTAATGACTGTAGCGAAGTAGACTTGGCCAACGCCTCATTGTAATTATCCAGGGTAGCCTTTACAACTGAAGAATGTGGTAAAGATAACTTCGGAGTACGTTCTGGTGGTAAACATCCAGACGACCCCAGCTCAATAGGTATCTCCTGTTCCATAGTATCCACAGGAGGCGGCAAAGTATTTGGATAAAGAGCATGTAGCATTTCCATTTTCTCCTTCAAGGACCATCCCGGTATATAGTCCTCCGCAGCTGTATCCATGGATGGTAAAGTAATAAAACCCTCCTTCATAACTAGTTCTGGGTTAGCCGCTGGATAAGCCGTGTGCCCGTCTGAATCCGAGAGGTCCAGGACTAACGGAATAATAGGAGGATTGTCCGTGTCAATGAACTCCCGGTTGACCGTAGCCGTAACTGAGGTAGACCGTGCACCATCTGTTACACTCCCTGTAGAGCAAGCTACTCCATGCTGTGCGTGAGCCGTGGAATTCGGGTTATATAACAGCTGATTAGGACCCATGCCAAACACTTTAACCCGGCTAATGGCATCCTGACCAAGCCGTGCCGGGGACGCCGAATCACCCGAGCTTGACACGATAGCCGGCTCGGCAGGCAAGCTAGCTTGGGTGCTGACCCTTAAGGGTTGACAGCCAGGGACCGTGTCCCTCCCAACCGAAGCCTTAGCGTCTCCCATCGTGGGGATCGGTGACCCGGGTTCAGGACGTGGGTGATGCTGGACCGAACCGAGCAGAGCACCGCGCCACCCTACGGGGAATGACTCTTGACCATGGGACCTAGCATGCCCTTCATCATATGAGTCATATAGATAGGCTGCATTTTGAGTTAGGGAGCCAGAGAAATCAATTTGCCTCTGTAAATCTGAGATTTTCCTTTCGTTACGTAACTCAAAGTCATGGAAGGACTGCCGCATGGATGATTGCATTTCCGACTTGAAAGAAGACAAAAGCTCCGTAATAGCTGACAAATCAACCTGGCTAGATGATGAACTTGATCTAGATTTAGATATTGACTTTGAGTCTGATTTAACTGCTGAACTAGAAGGCTGAGAGGCAGGTATTTTGCTTCTAGAGGAATCTGAGATCTCTGATAATTTTCTCTTCCTCGCCTGATTACGTGCTTTATCCATACTAATCCATTTCTCCGCAGATAAGGCAGTACATAACAAACAGCGATCTTCAACTGTGCAAGGAGCTCCAACAAAACATGATGCACATAGAGAATGCGGATCTAACTCAGCCATAAATTTTTTACATTGAAAGCACTTATTTTGCGACATGGCGGGAAAGTTAAAAAAGGGTGGGAAAATTCCTAAACTACACAAAGTCAAAAAGTTTTTACAATAAACAATAATAAAGTCACAATGCGATTGTCTGGTGACCAAATGCGATCTCTACTGACTGTACATGAATAACTCTGTAAGATTAAACTTGACAATAAACCTCTTCCACTCTGACACGTCCATGTGTGACCATACAGAAATAATTATGAAGGTGTTCAAAGAACAATGCTGTGATGTCACAGCTAAGTGAGATAACCATGTACATATTTAGGCATAGCACTAGGGATAGCTATGACTTAGACAAATTTTAATCTCTTTCATTCTGTATGTATCTGTGTCACCCACAGGAAACTAGCAACCATAATTCAGAGGAAACGTTTACGGCATAATTATTTCAATTCTCAGATCGCTGAGAACTGTACAAGTCATAAAAGCATGTTTAACCATATCAGAAGCTAATATTCCAGATATACACTCTCTGGATTCAATCTTTTTACAACGAACATGAATAATATGAGAGATTTTTCAAAATTTATGCTTATTAACCAAAGCTAGCTCCCACACTCTGCTTGGTTTATAAGGCTCTCGGATAAGACAATATCTAGAGAGATCCTCCCTCACTGCTATCTGATGACACAACAAACTCTCATAAGAATCACAGATTCTGGACTTAAGAACATTATTCCATTTTGCTTTAGAGCAGATTGTGATTTACGTATCAACAACATCAGACAAGCCATATTTGTTTACAAGCTTAACCATATACAAACTAGGTGACAGGAATTTACCAATGTTGGTCATACGGAATATTTACGACATAATTGAGTAATTTATAGCTATGATATAACAGTGGTAAGGTATTCAAAGGAATTATGGTTCGTAGCATTAGGAGTATAAATGATATCTTTAGTATGGCTGCATAAGGTAGCTTGTTAAGTCTGTCAGTTGCACAAAGGTTATAATATTGGGTGAATAGTAAAATGATAACATACCATACGCATCTTGGAAAAGTTGACCAGGCCATCTTCAGTGAAGTTTGGTGTTCCCTCTTCTATGAAGGACAAGTCAGTAAGGTACATTCCAAGGTAGGGAATACATGGAGGATCACATCTACAAAAAAAAAATGAACCACAAGGTTTAGAGCTTAGCTGAATTAAATAAGGTGATAAAATCTCAAAACATGTAAAAATCATATTGGGATCCTTCTTCAAAAGTTTTAGTTCGATAAGGGTTCATCATCAACACTTCACTCAAACACGGACATCTTAAGCTAAGTTCATCTATTATATCTCCTGCAATTACAGTCTGTTTGACGAGGAAGTGTCCCCATGAATTGCTAAATATATCAGTTTAGAAAGGTAGTTAACAAGTGTTTGCCACTAACATGGCAATGTCCCCCGCTGCTAAAGAAGAAGGAAATATTTATAATATATTTACTACTTTTTATTTTTTGGTCACATACAAGATGCCTGAAATGACTAGTGTCTGCATAATCCCCCAATGTAGGCTGTCAACATAATTGAAGACATTGGGTGCAATGTTTTATGAGATATCACGTTTACATAAGTTTGAAAAGTGGTCAAAGTATTGTGGTGACCTTGAAGATAAGGTCAAGGTCACCCAAATCAACAGGTGTCTGTGTAATCCCCCCATGTAGGCTGTCACCAAATTCGAAGACATTGGGTACAAGAGTTCATTACATACATTATTACATTAGCAAGAGTTTGAAAAGTGGTCAAAGTGTCGTGGTGACTTTGAAAATAAGGTCAAGGTCACCAAAATCAACTGGTGTCTGCGTAATCCCCCCATGTAGGCTGTCACCAAATGTGTACACATTGGGTACAACAGTTTATGAGATATCGTGTTAACAAAAGTTTGGGAAGTGGTCAAAGTGTCATGGTGACCTGGAAAATAAGGTCAAGGTCCCCAATGTAGGCCGTCACCAAATCTGAAGATATTGGGTACAACAGTTCATGAGATATTGTGTTAACAAGAATCGGGACACTGCTGAATACAGAGTCCCCCGTTCCGCGTTGCGGCGGGGGACAATAAATATTACGAGGCAAGATGTTCATGAATAACCTATACCCAAACACTTTTTCAGCTATTAGAAAATGTCATGCATCACAGAAAAGGTTATTTAACAAACTATCATCCTTATAAATCTTAAATAATCCGAGAAAAATAAAAATGACAATAATCTGTAAATAGCAAAAGGCACCACCTTAGGTTATGTTTGACATATCTACCAATTTTTGTTGAAAAATATCGAACGGTCTTTGAGTTATGCTCTAGAAACAAAATGATTACGGACGGCCGGACGGCCGGACGGCCGGACAGACGGACGAGGCGACGACTATATCCCACCGCATTACATGCCGGTGGGATAATATTGACATAGTACATGGAGAAATCATACGAAAATATATATCTTACTGAATTGGCAGGTATTTTGATTCTCTTAGTTCATATGCATGGTATAAATATATACATAATTTTCTCAGAAGTGCTATCGAAGAGCATTATAGACATTACAAACGAATAAAAAGTGTTACTCATCTTCTAGTCCTAAATTGCACAATGGACAGTTGCATTCCGTTACATTGATATTTTGCCATCTACCTTCATTATACTTTAATCCTAGCAATCCACATCCAAATTTAATCAATATCTTACGGACTTTTCTGTCGACAATGCATGATAAATATTTTTCGGGAGCTAAAAGACTTTTAAATTCTCTATTCATACAATATCGTCAGCTGTTATTCAATATACACGTCCATGACTGGAAAAACATATTGATTGCAACTGATTTGAATTCATTTATAAAAGAAACTTTATCACCAACTGTCTGCGAAATTCAGACATAACCAAAACCATGTGAAAAAAGAATATTTCTCATATATGAAGCATATGTATTGTATCCCAAGTTATCATAGTACATTTGCAATTAATAGACTTTTAAAGGAATTCTGTCTTCATTCCTACGAGTGATTTTTAACCAATATTTCAAGGTTTTACACAATGCATATATAAAAAGAGGGTACCTTCCACACTCACCATGGACAATTATAGCGGTAGGAGTTTGTCGAGTGACATTTAAAAATCTTTTACAGGCTATCAAATGGACCTTTTCTATTTCATCAAATTTGTGCATTGCCCATATTTCAGCCCCATAAAGTAATATTGTTGTATCTGCGTATCAAATATTTAAAAAAATACACTCGGATCTATAATTCCAATTTTACTGAGATTAGTAATTACCTCCATTAAAGCCCGTTTACCTCTTAGTGCCAGATCATTAACAAAATTTATCATTTTAAAAATTGAAGAAAAAATTACACCCAAATATTTATAAGAAAACAAAAACAAACTCAGAAAACAAATACATGTCATTAAATGCATTACAGAAAACTGTGATGCCACTGATGACGAAGTCACAGATCATTCAGAATAGATTTTGAGACCCCCCCTCCGCACCTGTCTATTCCCATTGCTGCCGTGCGCCCCCCTGCGCCAAATGTCAACAATCATGTTTATAATGATGATAGTTTGTTAAACAACTTTTCTGTGATGCATGACAATTTCTAATAGCTGAAAAGGTGTTTGGGTATAGGTTATTCAAGAACATCTTGCCCCGTAATATTTATTAACTACCTTTCTCAACTGATATATTTAGCAATTCATGGGGACACTTTCTAGTCAAACAGACTGTAATAATACACTATTATATAACTGCAAGAATGGTGTCTTCTGACATCAAGAAAAAAATATTTGTTTTGGTTTCGAAGTCCAATTTGTTGTTGGCTTGGTGCTAGGCACTTTTGTGGAGGTCAGGTGACATTGCTGAGTTTAGTTATTGAAGGCGATGGTCTGTTTGGCCGAAGGTGATGGTTTTCATTCTGCAATGATGCCCGATCCTTTCAATTACAAGCCTTTTGGATGCAGTCTGGAGGATGACTTGAGCAGCTACTGAGTTAACTGGAGAGGGGGATTCTCAGACCACTTTTCTTAATAGGAGGCCACGAAGCGGCCGAGGATCTCAGGGAGTCTGGGGGCATGCTCCCCCTGAATTTTTCTATCTAAAATTAGATGTTCTCAGATGCAATTTCCTGCATTCTGAAGGTAAAATGACTCCATTTATGTTATCTCAAATTTTGTATAACATATTATTTTTTCCTGCTACGTTAAACCAAATTTGCTCATGCTTTTTGAAAAGGTTTCTTTGTTCAAAATCGTAGCATCTGTACATAATCTTCTGAACTAAACTTTATAAATATATTTGGACATGTCTGTAAATATGCGAAACAACTGTTTTGTTCAGTTTAAGTATTAATATACAATAGTTGCATTGTTAAATTCAGTTCACAGTCCAGAAATGTGAAATTTACATCATATACAGGATATCTTCAGGTTTGTTCAATATTTTGGAGTCATATGGATTGAATGCAATCCTTTTTCTATTTAAGTCTTTTGTTCGTTAAGTATCATTAGGTATTGCACAATATGCCTTCAGTTTATAGCAAGCTGACGTCAGAGATATTATATTGTCATGGGACACATCAAAAGCTACCAGTAAGGATGGAATAGGGAATAAAGTACTTTGATATACTGCAAATAGTCTAACATCCATACTTACAAAATTATTCAATTTATCACTTAGCCAGTTAATTTGTCCCTGTTCATGGAAAGAAGCATCAGTAATACATATTCACAAGAAAGAAAGCCCACATGAATGTTCAACCTACTGTCCTGTCGCACTCGCATCTTGTTTATCGAAAGTTTTTGAGAAATGTGTATTCAAATATGTATTCAACTTCCGAAGAGATAATGACTTACTGACAAATTTACAATCAGGATTAATGACAAGAGATTCCACATCAAAATCAATTAATCTATTTGTATAATTTCATAGCTAAAGCTCTTAACGAAGGAAAAGAAGTTAGATCAGTCTTCTGCAACATAAGTAAAGCCTTTGATAAGGTCTGGCATAGAGGAATTATTTATAAACTGAAAACTTATGGTATCCAAGGCGAACTATTAAAATGGTTTGAAAGTTATTTAGAAAATAGAGTACAACGGGTAGCAATTAACAGGTATAAATGTGACAAGAAAATTGTACAAGCTGAAGTTCCTCAGGGCTCAGTCCTTGGACCACTTCTTTATCTGATATACATTAATGATATTGTATGTAACATTGACAGTAACATTCATCTCTTTACGGATGACACCTCATTATATGTTATCATAGAAGATGCATCAGTTGCTGCTACCTGTCTTAACAATGATCTTAGATAAAATTTAACAAAGGGCCCATGAGTGGCAGGTTACATTTCAAAAACTTGCCACTAACCGAAAATGTAATTTTTAGAGTAAAATTGATATTTTATACTTATCCTGACTCATGCTCTTTTGCTTGTCGTCTTCTTCTTCTTGCGAACATAGTGGAACACTTGTATCTCCTTATTTGAAGCTCCCTTCAAAATAAAATCACTAATTGGTACTCACCACGAGTTGCTCCCCTTTGTTTCCCCTGGCGGGAAAGGTGTCGCCACCCTCTGGCCATGTGCTCCACTCTCTCCTGATTTAGCGAGCCCAACACTTGAACTTACAGGGAAATCCAAAGTGTTATGTGGGGAGGATGGGAGGGCTAACCTCATGAGTCAGGATAAGTATAAAATATCAATTTTACTCTAAAAATTACATATTTTTCCTTATCCTGACTCATGCTCTTTTGCTTGTAGCATCCTACGGAACGGAGGTGGGTAACAGAATACTTTGGATTTATAATTAGTGATTTTGTATAGATATACTGTAATATCCCCTACGGGAACTTCATGAAGGCTTAGATTTAGGATGTTTCCTGTATAAAGAAAACCATAGGTTATATAAAGCCATTAAAGGGAATTACATTATGAATATATTGAACAATACATATAAATATATATATATATATAGGTGACTCTGATAGAGGCACTGAAATTGACTATACCAAAGTATATGCTTAAGGTTGAATACTTAAGCTGAACATATATACATAGCCCTAAAACTCCGTAGAGTTATAAGCTAGATGAGTATGTATAAAATACATATTAATCTTGTGAGGATAA